GAAAGTGAGATATCACGCCCCGAGGGATGGCTATGTTTCAATCCCTTCTCCTTCATTATCCTCCTGGGATTTCTGGCACACATGCCCGCACAAACTCCCAGAGTGTTTCATGCCTCTAGGTCCAGGATTAGAACTGCTGTTGGCCATGTGGGAGCTCCAATGATGTAAACACTATGCCATCTGCTGGCCCTATATTATATTGTTGTAACTGTTCTATCAGTTACTATGACTAAGTTATATACTGAACTTTATCATAGGTATGTATATATATGACAAAACATAGTGTGTATAGGATTCAGGCATCAAGTGGAGGTCTTGGAAGGCATCCCATATAGATAAAAGAGAAATAGGTGCTTTAATTCCCATATTGACTCTATATAAAATACATCTTTAATTTTAGTTCTAAGGGCTATAGCACTGCTAAATGGATTATTTTCTTTAATGCATTATTGACAGTTTCAGATGAGTTTGGTATTTTCATTTATGTCCCATCTTCTAAGAGTATGTGTGTGTGTATGTGTGTGTATCTATGTATCTATCATTCATCTAACTATCTATCTATCTATCTATCTATCTATCTATCTATCTATCTATCTATCTATAGTATCTATTTATCTATCTGTCTATCTATAGACAGATACATACATATATACACTTATTTATAAATACAATATTAGGTTGTCAGAAAAGTCATGACGTGGGGGACCAGCAGTTAGCGTAATGGCTATGTCGCTGGACTCTCACATAGTCGACCATGGTTCGAGTCACGGACCCGGTGGCTTAAACTCATGCCAGGCGCGTGTGCATGCATGCCCAAGATCCCAAGAGGAGAATGGAGGAGAAGGGATTGCAGCGTGGAAATCTCCCCCAGGGGTGATTTCTTGCTTTCTGTCTCTCTGTCTCTCTCTGTCTGTCTGGCGAGCGCACGTGCCCTATAGCAAAAAAACAAAAAACAAAACAAAACAAAAAACTCTAAAAAAAAAGAAAAGTCATGACGTGGGACCAGCAGGTAGCATGATGGTTAAGGTGCTGGACACTCGCACATGTTCAACCACAGTTCAAGTACCAGACCTGGTGGCTTGCTTTCTCACTTTCCCTCTTTCTCTTACTCTCTCTCTCATTGTGCGTGTGTGTGTGTGTGTGTGTGTGTGTGTGTCTTTGATCAAATTAAAATAAAATGAATGAATAAATAAAATTAAATTAATAATTATTTTTTTAAACGAAGAAAGAAAAGCCATGACACATCTTCACATAGAAAACCAAGTTATGGACTTCCCAACAACTGAATACATAGCCTTAAAAAAGAGTTGATTTTTTTCATTATATAAAAAGCACTTGGCATTTTCATTAATACCAGATTCAACATTAAATACAACTAAATTAATATATTATAATTAAAGTGCAAGAGATCCAACAGAGATCCCAATGGTAAATAAACCAGGTTCTAAAAGTTCTTTAACTAAGACAAGTAGAGAATCTATCTAGGTTTTTCTGAGTGACTTGGCCAGAGAATCTCCCAAATACTGCCCTGCTTTCATTAATTTGACAGAAAGAAATAATCAAGAGAATTTTGCATACAGATATTTGTATTACAATTCTACAAATAAATATTAAGCAAAACAGAAATTTTGTAATTATTTTCTTGGAAAAAAAATGATGCATTTGGATTAAACAGATCTGCCATGGATCCCCACATACTGTCTTCAGGTGAAGTGTCAATGCCACGACCTTTGATGCAACTGAATTTCTTGCTAGCTTAGTGTGGGACACGATAGTTGCCAACTGGTGAACAGACACTGTCTTCCCTTCTCCATAATAATGAGACCATAAAAGGTATTTCCTCACCTTTCATACCACTGTCATTCAGTGCTCCCGCTATGGACAAGGGCAAAAGACTCTGTAAACTGGCCAGTTACACTATATGGACGATTAGAAAAGAAGAAAACAATTCCTTCAAACAGCTAATCAGTCAATATATAGCATATATTGACGGTTCGCTGTTGGCTGAGCTTTTTAGTCGAACTACTTTGTTCTGCAAAAGTGAACGTGTGTCCTTTTCATGTGATCATTAGAAGATTTTTCTAATATAACTTCAAAACCTAATTACTTCAGGGGGCCGGCAGCTGGCATGCATAGTGGTTAAGGGCACTGGACTCCCACATGCCAACAGTGTTCGAGTCCCGGAACTAGTAGTTCGCTTTCTCACTTCCCCCTCCTCTCCGTCCCATTCTGGCCAAATTTAAACAAACAAATAAATAAATAAAGTTAAATAAAATAATTCTAGAACAAAATAAAAATGAAAAGCTAATTACTTCACATTTACAAAGTACCAGAGCATAAAATGGTATACATTCTAACATGCAAAATAATTTATGCTCTCAAAAGTGTGTGACGTTTAGTAACTCATATTATTTTTTGAAGAATGAGATTGACTTTAAGTAGGTATCACAACTATGTACTGGTGGCTAAATTATCTAAATCAAATGCTATTTATTTCCATTACATTTAAAGTTTGTCATTTTCCCTTTGTAAATAATAACAATAAGAAACACTTCTCTAAACTTTTTCCAAGCAGTGATTCTCCTATTTGCCCTGAAAGTAATTCATTTATAGCAACTTAAAACCAGCACTGGGGAATTGAGTTCAGTACTTAGATGGCTATAGTCTTAAATATTCAAGAAAGAGCATACGCGTGCGTACACGCACACACACACATAAACACACACACAAATACTGTCCTGCTTTTATAGCCTTACCAAGATGAGAGAATCCTAGAAGTAATTAAAACTTAAATGAAAACTGAATAGTATAAATGGAGGAGCACAGTTTCAGTCTATAAGAAGACCCCAGAAATAGTGTAAATGAAGGCTATAAATATCCTAACAAAGGCTTTATTGAAACACATTATTTTAAATTGTCATGAATAAGTCATCTAATAATTCAAAAAGGTCATGTTTTCAGATTTAAAAAATCACACTTAACTTATCCTTCTACCCCCCCCCAAAAAAAGTGTATGAGTATGTAAGACTTATACCTTAATTTGTCTCAGTAAAAAGAGCTGCCAAAACAACTCACCCATTGTTCTTGTCTAACTTCTGTGGAGGCATGAAAACTACATTCCTGGGCACTACATAATCTTCGTGCCTGACCCCCCAAGAACCTTGGAGTTAAATTCATTTACCCCCAGAGGGCAACAGGCTATTGTATCCTCTCCACTTTCTAGCCACCTATGAACAATGGATAGTAATTGCAACTGTCATGGGCAGTCAGTAAGAAAAGTAACCCAGCGCTATTTTCCCAGTTTACTGCCAAACCTGAGCTGAGCACCTAATAACCATGCCCCCAACAGAAGAAAGACCTACAGTTGCTTTTCAAATGCATCAGAACACAGCTTTCTGAACAGAACCAGAGGACAATAACCCAACTTGTGCTCTGAATGTGAAGCTTAAAAAACTCAAAATTAAAGACAGAAACTTCTTTTGTGATTGTACTGTAGCTTCCTAAACTAACCCCCTAGGCAAGCCTGAAAGAACAGCTGAACTGCTTTTCTCTAAGCTTATCATCTGCTGTTGCTGCTTTTAAGTTTGACTTGTGAAGGAAAACGAGGGAGGGAAAAATGTTTGTCCTCCAATGGAATGAGATCACAAGGCTGGGAACGGGCGGTCTTCTCTGCTCTACTCTCAGTTATTACCTAGGTCAGCGGAGATTAAAGAACCTTGGAGAATACATCCTATGCCTCAGGTGCAATGGGTTAAAAGTCTATGAAAATAGTAGAAAGAATATGCTGCTTCCAAAAATGCAACTTCTCAGTTCTCCTTAAACTTTATAGATGAATTATTACTCATTTGAATTTTGATTCCATTATAGATTTTGGATACTGAATTTGTTGATTAGCATCCATTTTTTCCCCCACAACCTATTCCCAACTAATCACAGCTTGACGATATGAAACTCCAAACAATCTGGATAAAAAGTGAACCATTCGAACCTTTTCTGGAAGTTCCCAAACACCCAGATGTTAATGTCATGGAGTCGTTGAGGTGAAATACTTGAATCTTTGCCTTTCTCCAGAACACTCTAATGGCATAAAGCCTTAAGAGAGACAATTGCCTCTCTCATTGGGAGAACACTTGCATAGACACACATATGCAAAAAAGTTATTTATACACATATTTCTACATGTATATTAATATAAATCTGGTGATGTTTTAAATATATACTTAGCCTCTACCAAAAATATGCATAGTAATATGTAACTAAATATTTTAATGTTGATGACTAAGTATCATGACTTTCTCAAAATTAATCTTACTTTAAAACTCGGAATCAGAAGCACCTACTGGCAACGAATAGAAAGCCATAGACTGCCAGTCATGCGCTGAGAAAATAGAATTTGACATTAATTAAAAGGATCATTTGCTTCTATTTTTATTTGAGGAAGTTAAATTTTACCTCTTTGTTATTTGCTGAAATTCATTAAGATACGAATATTTGGTATCTTCTGCAGTCCATATGAAATTTCACTTAGTTCTATGTAATTGCTTGATTCAAATACAACCAAAACAAAATATTGCCCTATTGGGACAATGGTAATTATAGCCTCTCCCTTTGTCATTTCTGGTTTAAAATGTAGATTACATACATGCATACTTCCAATATATAGAATGTATAAAGTTATACAGTTTTTAACCTTGCTACAGGTACATTCCTACTCATGAAGCAAATCATTTAAAATTGAAAAATATGATGAAAACCAAAGCATGTTAAAGAGACAGTGGGGTTATTCTGTTAAAACAACATGCTATTTATTCTATAAGGCACAAAAGGAGAAAACAAGAATCCTGATTCATTCCCTTTCAAGCTAGAAAGAAGCAGCGCCAAACACAGAGAATGTATGAAGCAGAAGAGGGTGTGGTCAGAGTGTTTTATTACTATTAATATTCCTAAAAAGCAATTTCATTTTGGTACATTTTAGATCAAAATAATTGTACACATATTACCTTTTATTTCGCCAAAGTTCCCTGATCCCATTGCAAGAAGCTTGTCTTTCCAGTCCTTTGAGAGTAGCTTTTCAATACTGGGGGTTTCTAAGTAAAGAAAAAAAAAATGTAAGCAAATCAACATGACTATCTTTACAATGGAGCTCATTAAAAGTCTATCTGCTAAAAATAAGGCCATCCCTATCCTGGCCCCAGTTCATAATGACTTCATCAACAAACTGATAACAGGGGAGGAAAAAAAGAAAGTGTTTTGTCACCTGCTGTTTCAAAATCATTAGCTTTTTCCTCTTGCAGAACAAAGCCATACTAATTCTTTATGACAATGGGATACATATAAACCTGCAGTTCATTGTTTTTCAATTTGGTGAACAAATTCTTGCTATAATGGATGCTTGTCAATTTCAGGGTGTTAGTCTGCAGTCAAAAAATAATTATGTTGATAAAATGCAGAGGAAAAAAAAAAGGCAAAGAATTAGCTCTTAAATCTGCTACATGTAATTATATCCCTCTGTGTGTTTACAATTACATCCACTTTATAATATGTGTTTAACATCGTGTAGTGGTAAGCACACTGTGGCAAGATTTGCCAGTACTGAGAACACTGAAAAAAAAAAAAAGAAAGTTGGTATAAAAGAAGCTTTAAAAAGATTGCAAAATCTAGAGAAGTGAGTAATGCCTATAATGGAAACCTATTATTTGTTTATTTCAGATTTGTATCACACTCTTTTAAAATGCCCTGCATTGGGACAGGGAACACACATTTTAGACAGCAAGGATATGCTTTAGCCTGGTATTTGTTTCTATATATCACATGGTTTTTGACCTCTCCTTTTGTGTTGAATTTTAATGTATAAGTAAATATAAATGCTAATAAAACTCCCAAACATTAAACTCAGTTCCAAACAATGTAATTGTATATTCTTGTCAGCATTTAGATGGGTACACAATTACAATGGCTTTCAATCCCATGATTAGCACTGCATTCAGTTAGAAAATGGAATGTACTAAAAGATAAGTGTCCCAGTATGCTCCATCTAAATAACAATACCGACACTTATTATCTAGATCTAAGACATACACTGCCATTCTCCACATTGGTGTTTATGTGTATTTGTGTTTGTTCAGGCATTTGTTTACCCCCTACTAAGAGCATAAAGGGAGTACATGTTAACTTATCAAAGGGAGCGGCTGGCCTAGAGACCATAAGATTATTAGAAACTGGTTAATTTTCCCCATAGTAAAATGCATTTTTAGGAGTCTTCATCATTATCTATGGCTAATGCTATACACTTTTTTCAGGGCCCCTTCTTACATACATCAGCTATCAGAGTCACAAAGCCTATACAGTTTTTCTTTTTTTTTTTTTTTTGAGAGGTTTTCGCTATAGGGCGGGTGAGCTCGCCAGACAGAGAGAGACAGAGAGACAGAAAACGAGAAATCACCCCCCAGGGGGGATGGCCACACCGCAATCCCTTCTCCTCCATTCTCCTCTCAGGATCGTGGGCACGCATGCACACGTTCCCGGCGTAAGTTTTAAGCCACCGGGTCCGGGACGCGAACTGCGGTCGACTATATGGGAGTCCAGCGACATAGCCATTACGCTAACTGCTGGTCCCACAAAGCCTACACAGTTTTGAATAAAGCAAAGGTGCATTTTTTCTTGAAAAAATTATAACAACACAGAGCACTTCTTTTTCAGATGCTAAGAACTTGTGAGAAATGGTGAAAAATCTCTGAACAATTACTGTTTGCATAGTCGGTACATTTGGTGCAAATACATACACACATACCACAACTACCATGAGTAGATACACCTATGGAATGTGCAAAATATACTTTTTTCCATCGTAAAAATTATATACCTCTATTCTTCTCATTTTAGGAAAAAAGAACTTAAGGAATTTACTTTTTCTTAGAATATCCCTACTTCTGTATCACATTGATTAAAAAATGGTAATGGTAATTCTATGAGCAGTGAAACAGATCCTATACTATAATCAATATTTCTGTTGAGACTTTAAAAAGCAACTGTAAAATAGTTCTGTAAGATTTCCGTGTTTCTCATTGCCAGTAAACACTTTGTGAGCAAAATCATTTCTTAAACCTTATCTGAGTAGGTCAAACAAACACCACTGTTTCTTTTTTCCAGCACCCTACAAAAATTCTCGAGTAGCATGTAAACAGGGCACAGCAATATGGTATTTGCAATAGAGTACTGTCAGTCATTAAAAGCTAACAAACCTTTGCAAAACAGGAATGCAGCAATTGAAATCCATTGTACACTAACAATAGGCCCCTGAACCTCCCGGCACCAAAAGCAGACCATTTTACTTTTAAGGCTATTGTCTGCAAAGTCCATGACAAAGCTTTTCCCCTGCAGCTAGACAAAATATTCACTGTAGTGTGCTCATAAAGAAACAGAAGTCTTCTGTCTAAGTTTCAGAGTTAAAGAAACAGCCGCCAGATTACGGAAACCTGCAGAACATTCTTGGCCTCTTTATTAACTAGCATAAAGATATAAGCCTCCTATATTTTCCCCCTTTTAGCACACATACATAAAAATGAGTAACTTCATTAAGACTTATTTAGAAAATGCAAAATCAAAAGCATATATAACTCAGGTTGTCATGTCCGTAGATGAATAAAGACATTGATACTTGCAATTTGACTGAGGTATATGCTTTAAATTCAGACTCAAATACATTTATTAAGGATCCTACATGTCAAGAGAGAGCTAGGCTAGACGATTTTACCTGCATTACCTCGTTTAATCACAGCAACCAATTAAAGTCTAAAATTATATTATGTTTATTGCACAGATTAAAGGGGAAAGAAAAGAAGCACCAAGAAAAAAGAAATAATTGGATCCCCAAGTTTTTATTCTTCCAGCACACACACATTTCCTTATTATATCTATAAGATAACCCTGGAGAGTGGGAAAAACAATGGATATTAACTCTACTGGGTGGATGAAGTGAAAACTTGAAAGGATAAATTGAATTTTGCAGAATAACACGTATGTATGGCCAACAACTGTTGGATTAAAGAACATAAATTTTCTCAGTTCTTACTACCTTCAGAACACAGTCCAGACACATGACTTTGTACTTTAGAATTCTGTACAATTAAATGAAAGCCTACAACCATCTAGCAGAGATATATAATGAGATACTCCAACTTAGTCATGAGGTGCTGGATGACAGGAATAGATTCTGAGAAATGCATTGTTAGCTGATTTCATTGTTCTGTAAACACTGTAGAAAGTACTTACACAAATGTAGATGGATAGCCTACTACAGACGTACCAAACATGGAACAACCAATTATGATGTTTTTTAGGACCACTGTCACATATGTGGTCCATTGTTGACTGACATGTCGTTATGTGGCACATGACAGTGTTTACATAGTGGAAAGAATACCGAGCTGTTAACTCAAAAATCTTGGATTCTCGCCAAGATTTTGACATTGGCTAATTGGGGCAGTAGGGGGTAAAGGGGTGATCATAAGCTCCTCACTTCACCATTTCACCTCTTTATTTGAATGTATATAAAATAAGAGCTTCAAGCAAATCCGTATCCAGTATTTTCCCAATTGCAAATAGTTTCAGGTTTTTCCCCACTGATAGTTCCTAAAGAAATGGTAAGAAATGATTTCACAGTAACGAGCACAATGGATAGACATGTAGCAATGATTGAATTGCTCTGAAAATAGTAACAATCTTGTAGAAAATTTAAGATTAACAATGTAAAAGACTAGGGGACCCTGTGGCCTACTGGTTAATGGAACCAGGTCCCACATGGACAACCACATTCAAAGTCCAGGCCCCAACAGCCTGACAAACATGCTGGGCATGTGCACATGTGTGCCCAAATTCCTGCCTGAATGGAGAAATGGAGAAGAAGGGGTTGTAGTGTGACCACATCCCATTGGGAGGTACTTTCTTCCTCTCCTCATTCTCTCTCATAGGTCTCTGGTGACATGTATGTCCTTTGGCAATTCAGAAAAAAAAAAATGTAAAAGACAAATGGGTAAATCCCAATATTTACAATATATCTGTTTTTAATGTGCAATCATGTGTCAATGAGTAAAGTGAAATTTGAAACAAATATGTAACTGCTGCCGACTGCTTATAGAATAAGAGATAGCAGTTGGGCCAGCCCCATGGCATAGTGCTTAAGCCTTGTGTGTATGGGAGCTAGATTCCTCATGGCTAGCTTTGCTTCCAGTCCTGGCCCCACTGGCTTGAAAAATACATTAGGTGCAAGTGTGTATATGCCCTAAATCCTGATGGGGTGTTAAAATGAGTGGCATGACCATGCCTCGTGGGGGAATGTTTACTCTCTCAGCGTCTCTCTCTCCTGAGAACACAAGTCCTCTGGCAATGAAAAGGGGCAGTAGTCACCTGTTAAATATTTAAGTTTATAAAATGCATAAATTGTATTTTATACAGTTGAGGTTCCTAAAGTGGTACCCCAAAGTATGGCATATTTAATGCATTGGCCTGAAGAAGATTGCAAAGCCTCGGAAGTAGTCTCAGAAGCAATGTTTCTCCTATGTCCCACCCCTTTCTTCCCATGTCAAACCATAAATATAAGCATTTCTCCTCCCTTACATGAGACATGAAAACTAGAACCCCTTTCTCTAAAGCACAGCCTTAAAACCTAGAAGATTGCCCTAGCTTCCCCTTCCCTTATAAGAGCAGGCCATAATGAATTTGCTGATCTGCTTTGTCTGGTAAGAGGTTATTAGATCCTAAATTGCAAAATAAGGTCTGCCCTACACAGGGGAGCTAGGAAGATTCTATAGAGACATACCTGCTCAGTTTTCCCCCAAACCTTTTACCATTATATCATACTCTCTTGTCCAATCACATTTTGACACAGCTGTCTATTCCTCATCAAACTAAGCATAAAAACGGAGTTCTTCCTAGGTCCTTCAATCTTTATTTCTGAAGGTTTCCATGTTTTATAAAACTTTGATTAAATAAATTGATTATGCTTTTCTCTTGTGAATCTGTCTTTTGTTACAGAGATGTCAGCTGTGACCCTTATGTTGGGTGAGAAAAGACAGAATACCTTTCCACA